ACTCCAATTTGCATATGAATACAACCAGAGGGTTTACAATTTGCATATGAATACAACCAGAGGGTTTACAATCTGCATATAAATACAACCATGGGTATTTATAATTTGCATATGAATACAACCACTCTGGGTTTCCAATTTGCATATGATCACAACCAGAGGGTTTACAATTTGCATATGAATACAACCACTCTGGGTTTCCAATTTGCATATGAATACAACCAGAGGGTTTACAATTTGCATATGAATACAACCTAAATGGTTTACAATTTGCATATGAATACAACCTAAAGGGTTTATAGTTTGCATATGAATACAACCAGAGGGTTTACAATTTGCCTATGAATACAACCTAAAGGGTTTATAGTTTGCATATGAATACAACCAGAGGGTTTACAATTTGCATATGAATACAACCACGCTGGGTTACCAATTTGCATATGAATACAACCAGAGGGTTTACAATTTGCATATGAATACAACCACTCTGGGTTTCCAATTTGCATATGAATACAACCAGAGGGTTTACAATTTGCATATGAATACAACCTAAATGGTTTACAATTTGCATATGAATACAACCTAAAGGGTTTATAGTTTGCATATGAATACAACCAGAGGGTTTACAATTTGCCTATGAATACAACCTAAAGGGTTTATAGTTTGCATATGAATACAACCAGAGGGTTTACAATTTGCATATGAATACAACCACGCTGGGTTACCAATTTGCATATGAATACAACCAGAGGGTTTACAATTTGCCTATGGATACAACCATGGGGGTTTACAATTTGCATATTAATACAACCACGCTGGGTTTCCAATTTGCATATGAATACAACCAGAGGGTTTACAATCTGCATATAAATACAAACATGGGGATTTATAATTTGCATATGAATACAGCCATGGGGATTTATAATTTGCATATGAATACAACCACTCTGGGTTTCCAATTTGCATATGAATACAACCTAAAGGGTTTATAGTTTGCATATGAATACAACCAGAGGGTCTACACTTTGCCTATGAATACAACCTAAAGGGTTTGTAGTTTGCATATGAATACAACCAGAGGGTTTACAATTTGCCTATGAATACAACCATGGGGGTTTACAATTTGCATATTAATACAACCGCGCTGGGTTTCCAATTTGCATTTGAATACAACCAGAGGGTTTACAATCTGCATATAAATACAAACATGGGGATTTATAATTTGCATATGAATACAGCCATGGGGATTTATAATTTGCATATGAATACAACCACTCTGGGTTTCCAATTTGCATTTGAATACAACCAGAGGTTTTACAATTTGCATATGAATATAACCACTCTGGGTTTCCAATTTGCATATGAATACAACCAGAGGGTTTACAATTTGCATATGAATACAACCTAAAGGGGTTACAATTTGCACATGAATACAACCTAAAGGATTTATAGTTTGCATATGAATACAACCAGAGGGTCTACACTTTGCCTATGAATACAACCTAAAGGGTTTGTAGTTTGCATATGAATACAACCAGAGGGTTTACAATTTGCCTATGAATACAACCATGGGGGTTTACAATTTGCATATTAATACAACCGCGCTGGGTTTCCAATTTGCATTTGAATACAACCAGAGGGTTTACAATCTGCATATAAATACAAACATGGGGATTTATAATTTGCATATGAATACAGCCATGGGGATTTATAATTTGCATATGAATACAGCCATGGGGGATTTATAATTTGCATATGAATACAAACATGCTGGGTTTCCAATTTGCATATATGAATACAACCATGGGGGTTTTCAATTTGCATATGAATACAACCACTCTGGGTTTCCAATTTGCATATGAATACAACCATAGGGTTTACAATTTGCATATGAATACAACCTAAAGGGTTTATAGTTTGCATATGAATACAACCAGAGGATTTACAATTTGCATATGAATACACCTAAAGGGTTTATAGTTTGCATATGAATACAACCAGAGGGTTTACAATTTGCCTATGAATACAACCTAAAGGGTTTATAGTTTGCATATGAATACAACCAGAGGGTTTACAATTTGCCTATGAATACAACCTAAAGGGTTTATAGTTTGCATATGAATACAACCAGAGGGTTTACAATATGCATATGAATACAACCACGCTGGGTTACCAATTTGCATATGAATACAACCAGAGGGTTTACAATTTGCATATGAATACAACCACGCTGGGTTACCAATTTGCATATGAATACAACCAGAGGGTTTACAATTTGCCTATGAATACAACCATGGGGGTTTACAATTTGCATATTAATACAACCATGAGGGTTTACAATTTGCATATGAATACAACCATGTGGTCTACAATTTGCATGAGGAAAATGTGGGTTTACAGAAATAAATGTAAGACCAAAATAATGGGTCACATGACCAAGAATGGTAGAAGCAAAACTAAATCCATGTCATCACATCTGATGTCCAATGAGATGCTCATCTAACATTTTGTTGTTTCTTATACATATACAGAAAGTAGTTTTAGATTCAATAAAGCTGGTATACCACATTATTGTGCAAACACAATCCATTCATCCTGCTCAGGTAGAAGATAATATACCCGTAATGTAATAACTTTCATTTATTCACTGACTGACGTATTATTTTTTATCATTTACAGCGGAAGCTCTTCATTTGGGATCACTTATATCAGCTCATGGTTACTTCTTTCCAATAACAGACCATGTTCTTACACTAAAGGATGACAATACATTCTATAGATTTCAGACACCCTATTTTTGGCCGTCAAATCACTGGGAACCAGAAAATACAGATTACGGTAAGTGGAGACAGTGCATGGTTCATCTTTGTTCTTGCTACAGATTGTGCTAAGTGAAAGTAACTCACTGTGAAATGAGTGAAATATTGAATTTATGCTAATTCTCCATAACTCTAAGTATCTGTTCTGCATAATATGTGCATGCTCACATGAATTTTTCTTCTAGAGTCTTCAAGGCTCTTGTGTTTTCCACAACCTGGTTCCTTCTAGTGTTGTCTACAAGCCTGGTTCCTTCTAGTGTTGTCTACAAGCCTGGTTCCTTTTCGTGTTGTCTACAAGCCTGGTTCCTTCTAGTGTTGTCTACAAGCCTGGTTCCTTCTAGTGTTGTCTACAAGCCTGGTTCCTTCTTTTGTTGTCTACAAGCCTGGTTCCTTCTAGTGTTGTCTACAAGCCTGGTTCCTTCTTTTGTTGTCTACAAGCCTGGTTCCTTCTAGTGTTGCTTACAAGTCTGGTTTCTTAAGTTGTCTACAAGCCTGGTTCCTTCTAGTGTTACCTACAAGTGTGGTTCCTTCTTGTGTTGCCTACAAGTCTGGTTCCTTCTGATGTTCTCTACAAGCCTGGTTCCTTTTCGTGTTGTCTACAAGCCTGGTTCCTTCTTGTGTTGCCTACAAGTCTGGTTCCTTCTGATGTTCTCTACCAGCCTGGTTCCTTTTCGTGTTGTCTATAAGCCTGGTTCCTTCTAGTGTTGTCTACAAGCCTGGTTCCTTCTAGTGTTGTCTACAAGCCTGGTTCCTTCTAGTGTTGCTTACAAGTCTGGTTTCTTAAGTTGTCTACAAGCCTGGTTCCTTCTAGTGTTACCTACAAGTGTGGTTCCTTCTTGTGTTGCCTACAAGTCTGGTTCCTTCTGATGTTCTCTACAAGCCTGGTTCCTTCTTGTGTTGCCTACAAGCCTGGTTCCTTCTAGTGTTACCTACAAGCCTGGTTCCTTCTAGTGTTACCTACAAGTGTGGTTCCTTCTTGTGTTGCCTACAAGCCTGGTTCCTTCTTGTGTTGCCTACAAGTCTGGTTCCTTCTGATGTTCTCTACAAGCCTAGTTCCTTTTCGTGTTGTCTACAAGCCTGGTTCCTTCTAGTGTTGTCTACAAGCCTGGTTCCTTCTTGTGTTGCCTACAAGTCTGGTTCCTTCTGATGTTCTCTACAAGCCTGGTTCCTTTTCGTGTTGTCTACAAGCCTGGTTCCTTCTAGTGTTGTCTACAAGCCTGGTTCCTTCTAGTGTTGTCTACAAGCCTGGTTCCTTCTTTTGTTGTCTACAAGCCTGGTTCCTTCTAGTGTTGCTTACAAGTCTGGTTTCTTAAGTTGTCTACAAGCCTGGTTCCTTCTAGTGTTACCTACAAGTGTGGTTCCTTCTTGTGTTGCCTACAAGTCTGGTTCCTTCTGATGTTCTCTACAAGCCTGGTTCCTTCTTGTGTTGCCTACAAGCCTGGTTCCTTCTAGTGTTGTCTACAAGCCTGGTTCCTTCTAGTGTTGTCTACAAGCCTGGTTCCTTCTAGTGTTGCCTACAAGCCTGGTTCCTTCTAGTGTTGTCTACAAGCCTGGTTCCTTCTTGTGTTGCCTACAAGCCTGGTTCCTTCTCGTGTTGCTTACAAGCCTGGTTCCTTCTTGTGTTACCTACAAGTCTGGTTCCTTCTAGTGTTGCCTACAAGCCTGGTTCCTTCTAGTGTTGCCTACAAGCCTGGTTCCTTCTTTTGTTGTCTACAAGCCTGGTTCCTTCTAGTGTTGCTTACAAGTCTGGTTTCTTAAGTTGTCTACAAGTCTGGTTCCTTCTAGTGTTGCCTACAAGTGTGGTTTCTTCTGATGTTCTCTACAAGCCTAGTTCTTTTTTGTGTTGCCTACAAGCCTGGTTCCTTCTAGTGTTGCCTACAAGTCTGGTTCCTTCTAGTGTTGCCTACAAGTCTGGTTCCTTCTTGTGTTGCCTACAAGCCTGGTTCCTTCTCGTGTTGTCTACAAGCCTGGTTCCTTCTTGTGTTACCTACAAGTCTGGTTCCTTCTAGTGTTGCCTACAAGCCTGGTTCCTTCTAGTGTTGCCTACAAGCCTGGTTCCTTCTTTTGTTGTCTACAAGCCTGGTTCCTTCTAGTGTTGCTTACAAGTCTGGTTTCTTAAGTTGTCTACAAGTCTGGTTCCTTCTAGTGTTGCCTACAAGCCTGGTTCCTTCTTTTGTTGTCTACAAGCCTGGTTCCTTCTAGTGTTGCTTACAAGTCTGGTTTCTTAAGTTGTCTACAAGTCTGGTTCCTTCTAGTGTTGCCTACAAGTGTGGTTTCTTCTGATGTTCTCTACAAGCCTAGTTCTTTTTTGTGTTGTCTACAAGCCTGGTTCCTTCTTGTGTTGTCTACAAGCCTGGTTCCTTCTTGTGTTGCCTACAAGCCTGGTTCCTTCTTGTGTTTTCCACAAACCTTGTTCCTTCTTGTGTTGTCTACAAGCCTGGTTCCTTCTAGTGTTGCCTACAAGCCTGGTTCCTTCTAGTGTTGCCTACAAGCCTGGTTCCTTCTTTTGTTGTCTACAAGCCTGGTTCCTTCTAGTGTTGCTTACAAGTCTGGTTTCTTAAGTTGTCTACAAGTCTGGTTCCTTCTAGTGTTGCCTACAAGCCTGGTTCCTTCTTTTGTTGTCTACAAGCCTGGTTCCTTCTAGTGTTGCTTACAAGTCTGGTTTCTTAAGTTGTCTACAAGTCTGGTTCCTTCTAGTGTTGCCTACAAGTGTGGTTCCTTCTGATGTTCTCTACAAGCCTGGTTCCTTCTTGTGTTGCCTACAAGCCTGGTTCCTTCTAGTGTTGTCTACAAACCTGGTTCCTTCTAGTGTTGTCTACAAGCCTGGTTCCTTCTAGTGTTGCCTACAAGCCTGGTTCCTTCTAGTGTTGTCTACAAGCCTGGTTCCTTCTTGTGTTGTCTACAAGTCTGGTTCCTTCTAGTGTTGCCTACAAGTCTGGTTCCTTCTGATGTTCTCTACAAGCCTGGTTAGTCCCCGTTCGGACGCAGTCCGAAAACGGGGACTTGTGTTTTGACCTCCGTGTGGGTGTGCGTGCGTGTGTGCATGCGTGCCTCCTGACCTGTATCTTAGAAATGCCTAGACCAATCACAATCAAACTTCACACATACATCATACATGATATTATACATATGCACGTCAATTTGTTTCACGATCTGATTCAAGATGGCAGAATGGCGGCCATTTTTGTGCTAAAAATCATCAAAATCAAGCATTTCCTGGCTGTTTACAGATGGATTTTGTTCAAACCTTGTATATACGTTGGACATTATGGGACCTTGATGCACATCATTTTGTTTTACGCTCTGATTCAAGATGGCCGAATGGCGGCCATTTTTGTGCTAAAAAATCATAAAAATCAAGTATTCTTCGGCTGTTTATGAATGGATTTTGTTCAAACTTGGTATATACATTAGACATTATGGGACCTTGATGCAAATAATTTTGTTTGTCAGATTAGATTCAAAATGAATGTGGTTCTCGTGCCATATGTCTGACTTGTTTTGACTGATTATGTTCAAATTTTTAATATTCATTATACATCATGTCATAGATATAGGGATATATTGGTTTGATGATCCTTTTCAAAGTGGCCAAATGGTGGCTATTTTTGTGCTAAAAAATCATAAAATATCAAGCATTTCTTGCATTTATGGATGGATTTTGTTCAAACTTATAACATACATTAGACATTACAGGTTCCTGATGCATGTCATTTTATTTTTCAGATTAGATTCAAAATGGCTGACTGGCGGCCATTTTGTTTTAATGTTGTCCACAAGCCAATACTTTCTGGTATTGTCAATGTAACAGAATATATTCCCATACACATGTATAAATGAGATAATTGAGTACAGTACTAATGCATTGATATTATTTTTTCTGTTGGATTTTGCATTTTTCTATTTCTACATCAGCTGTATATCTTTGTAAAAGAACTATGCAAAATAAATCCAGATTGGAACTTGCAGATTATGAAGCAGTAAGTTAAATAAAGATTTACTGCATGCTGTCTCATTACATAATTTCTTACCACCCCTCCAGCGTTGCTTCATGTCCCTTCCTGCTTGCTGTTCCATAATGAAACATGAATAGTATGTTTCAATTTTTCTCTTGAAGAATCCCCGTTAGTTTTATAATTTTGTAGTTCATGCATGCATTTATTATAGCCTAGAATGTGTTTGCTTGCTGTGGTATGCGATGCCTAGGCATGATGAAGGCAAGTTGTAATTGGTTAATTGAAAAGATCAATGTTTGAATAAATTTGCATGCGTAATAAGATAAACCAAGCATTGTGTTCAGGCATTGTAGATTCAGAAAGAACATGGATTCAAGGATAGCCTAATAAGTACCTGTTTATTTCTTATGACTAAAATGAATTTATTTATTAAAATTCAGGAAAATCTTGCAAGACTACAAAGAATGTTTTCAAGAAAATGGGAATTCATATTTATGCAAGCAGAAGCTCAGGCAAAGTAAGTATAGTAGAATGTCTTGTATCTTTCAAACATGGCCTCTTGCTTCTATGAAGTATGATGAGTTTGAGTCTAGTTACTGTGCAATGCTTTATTTTCACTTGGAATTAATTTTCGCTATTTCCACTGAAGGAATAATTCAATGAAAATAAAATCCAGTGAATATACCTTTTTTTCGTATTTTTTACATTCCACTCTTCAAAAATTAGTGAAAATAAATTCCATACAAGAAACCCAAAAAGTCTATTCAGGGAAAATTAATTCCAGCTAAATTTTACAGTATTAGTTTTGTCAACCTTGTTTACCTAACACAATTTGCACGCCCCCCCCCCATACTTTTTAACTGCAAGTTCATATACCGTAAAAACTCGATTAATTCGCGGTCCCTATTAATTCGCGCACCCATTTTATTTTCGAACGCTAATTTTTAAATGTATCCTTTTAATTCGCGGCGTTCAAAAACATGTTTGAAATTGTATCCTATTAATTTGCAGGCCAGAATAAAGTGGATAACTCAGAATATATTGCATGAAGACATTAAAAATATACATTTTGTTTGAGTTGTTATGTTATCAGTACTTGGTGTAGTCGCAATCGCAGATGATCTCCGTCATCACAGCCTTTCAGTTAGCAAGCAGTTTAGGTTCGGTAAAGATTTGACCTGAAAAAAATCATTCCCCCACGACACTACAGATGTTGGGCAAGATTATTACTTAGTCGATAAATATCCATCGGTCAGCACATCGATTACAAATTTCCGTGATGGAAAGCTTAGTACAGGGCTTTTTCGTCGCTGGTCCACAGGGTTGCATCGACCATGGATGTACATCCATGCATCGCCATGTGTCCGCCATTATTCTATTACATTATTTAAGTGAACCGCCCTATGGTGTGTAAATTGACGTTTTTGGTGGGTCGGGCGATTGACCTCGTGTCACATTTTCATTACACTGGATTCGATAAAAAAACACAGAGTTAAGCGGTCACGTATGTTCTATAAATCTAACCTTGCACACATAATCTTGTACCGATGTGTTTTTTGTCCAAGAAAGACGTTCCCTTTCATTTAACCCCCAGTTAACTCTTCGCGTCCATGGTATTTGTGAGAGTTGAAAGATTTTTTGAACAAATGACAAGTAACTATATTGATTTGCGTCAAGCTGGGTCGCCCGAATTTAAATATCAGTGCGTGAACTCTGGAGGTCATTGCCCAATGCCACACGTAATTCAAACGCGTGGTTGTTAGAGTTCAGTCAAAATGTACGTGAATGATGCGATCGAAGTGCGCTGCCCAGAGTTTATTATATTATAGTAAAATTTAATTTGACGTATGGTATGTTTATGTTTGCGTAATTATTATGAATGCAACGCATTATCAAGTCGGTGATATTGAAATATTCACAGACCCAATACCCCGGGTCAGTACCCTAACAATAGTTAAAAAAAAACTAATTATCATGAAAGCAATACATTACGAAGTTGAAATATTCAGAGCCGGTACAATATTGTAAATAAATTTGCGTAATTAGAAAAGCAGTGCTTAGTGCAGTGCTATAAACGACGTTGATATATTCAAAGCCAGTACAGAGTTGCATACAAGTTGCGTAATTACAGTACCTTCGGATATAATAACAATTTTACTAGATTGACGCGCAGGGCACGAAAGAAAAAGGTTGCTAATGTAACGCGCCAGTTCAGTGCGTGACTTGGGGTCAAACTTCGGTCAACACACACTTAATGTCAGCAT